GAAAGAAAAGCTTTTAGATAACAAAACTAAATCAAGTATATAGGCCAATGGAAACAGAGCTTCACAGTCAAATGCCTGCTGAAATGAGGCAACATGTGTTCCATTCCCCAGTAAAAATTTGGTTTGCTACAAAGCTCCTGTTATGCCACAATTCAGCAGCAATATTTTGGAAACTGTAAAAAGACAAAACACACTCCACTTCCCTCATCACCTTGCCATTACCCACTGGATGCTGATTCCCTACTCTGCCAACAGGATGCATCATTAACTTAAAATAGCACTTTTGGAGGAAAAAATGCTGGCAGGAACCAATACAAGGTTTCCACTGTATGCCATTTCTGGATGAATTGGTTTCCCACCTCCAAAAACCTGGAGAGAGAAGGATGATGTGCTGCGAGAAACAGAATTCAAGCTTAGTCAGGGCCAAAACTTTAGGCAAAGTCAGTCTTCTCAATCTACTCAACAGAAAAATCAACAATCTCAATGGAGGAGTAAGAAATTAAACAATACAACCTACAGTGCATCTAAGCATAGGAGGCTCAAAGAGTTGGTACAGACAACCAAAAGAATACCATTTACTGTCAAAGGCAAGGCCAAGTCAAGCTGCCATGTGAAATTCCAACAAGGAAAACCCATCTTAAATCGGTACTTGTAACTTTGACATACATCTGCGCTGCTGTTTGCATGGCCAGCCTGCTCAACTACCCTCCATCAGCAGAAATAAAGCCAACCAATATATACACTTGAACAGATGTCACTCCCCAGTCTGACTGCACACAGTCAAACTAGGACATAATGTTAACTGAGCAGGTCACAAGTGATCATGGAAATGTAGATGCATACATTATTACTTAGTGTGACAAAAGGGTCAGTTACCCCAATGACTGCACTTGCACTTTAGGGGTCAGGAAATTATACATTCATTTAAGAACAAAGAGGACTTCCTGTTCAGTGCTTTCAGTCCGCAGCTCTTCATTCCTGGCTCTTCATTGCCTTTCTGTTTCCAATCCAGGCCATTCATTTCTGATGGTAGTGGGCCCAACCACCCGTGTGTTGGCTCTGCATGGCTCCCAGGCAAACAAATCCATAGCATGGGTGCTCAGATAACATAGTAGCTATCATCGTAGTCAGAGTCCTCCTCAAAGTCATCACTATCATAACTGCTCATCGACAAGATGGAATAGATGGAAGAAACTATGCTGCTCTCACTGTCTGTGGCTGGGTTCACCGATATATCCTGCTTCTCTGCATTCAAAACACACAAATACAGAAGTAAGCTGATAGCCAGATTGCAGACACTGAAATTGCTAAAGCTCTCTTGGAAATTTTAAATGCCTCCTCTTACTGTCAAGCTGTGCATTTTAGAACAGGTTTCTACAGCTATGGGCCATCTGCCTGGCACATTTCCATCTGTTCTATTTACTCTTTAAAAATAAATATGAATTAGGATTTTCTTTTATATTTCCTACATGTTTTTTTCAGTTCCAGCAGGTCTGCAGGGGGGGCAAGGAATCATTCTCCTTATCTTGAATGGTTCTCAGTGTGGACTCAGAGAGGAAATGGCAACAGAAGGCTATCTCAAGGTCTTCCCAATCAAGAGGAGGAGGGAACAAAAGGGAGTAAGATGGGAGGGAAAGGAGACTTCATGGGGGACAATAAAAAATCCAGTCAGACCTCTAGAAATTGATAGAAGATGGAGTAGGAATGGTCTCTCTTGCTACTTGTTCATGGAATGCCTAGCACAGAGATGTAATCCTTGGTTTCCAGGGGCCATCAGAATACAAATAAGTATTCCTCAGTTCAGTCTGTTCCCTGGTGCAGTCCATATTTAACTGAAAGTCCCTCCAGCTTCAGTTTGAGCCATCTTCCCACCACTGGATAAGAAGTTAGCATAAAACAAGGTCATCTTCCCTCACCAAAATGTGCCAGTGACTATTATAAGCTTTCTATCCCTTAGCAACTACTGGTTGTTCTGCACAACTATGATGTCCAGGTACATGTGAAGGTGGAACATGAGCTCATTTTCCTTTGATTGGAGAGAAGCATGAAGATAAGAAGTTTGAGAACCACTGATTTACCATATGCAAGAATGGAGTGGGTTCCCTGGAAGACACCACTTCATCCAGTCATCAGCTACCTGACAAGACACTTCAACAGTGCTTTGGTATACTCTGCAGAGATGCACATTAGTACTGTATGCCTGAGCAGCGTCAGTTCTGCAGAGATGAAAGCAATCCAGGAAGCAGTGCTGGAGAGCCTCTGAGAGTAGTGCAGCATTTCCTGAGGGACTCAGAGTGAGTTGGCTAAATAGGTGATGTTTTCAGGTTAGAACTGACACTGTTTAGTGATGTCACTCTATTTCACCAAGGAGGATCTGAAATATTCGAAAAGCACCTTTCATTAGGAAAGATCCCAAAGGTCTTTTACACATTATAAAATTAAAGGGATCATGCACCCACATTTACAGGAGAACAAAACAGGATACAACAAAAGTAATTAGGAAGGGCAGTTGAGAATAACTGCTATATTTTAGCACCCAGATACTACAGTGACTAGAAGCGAGAGAGAGAGAGAGAGAGATTTGAAAAAGGAAAGTGGACCAGTTGCTCTTATTGGAATTTTGCCAGGATATCAGGCATAAAACCCTTACTCTTATGCAACGTGTTTTAATGACAAGTGAAAAGAGCTGTGGTTTTATGCCTCATTAATGTTGAGGTCAAAATTCAATACCAACTAAGAAGGAAGAGTAGCACAAAGCCATGTACTACACCCGTGTTCTCTTCAGAATTCTCCATCCAGTGCTGACTGTAAATTCCTCTTGTGAAAGTGCAGCAAATATAAATTAATGCCAAACTTCTCACCAGGACACTGCTAATGCACCATTAGCCTACACAGTGATCTACACATAGATCTAGCTTTTCCTTAGAAGGTACCTGGTAAATTTTTCAGGTCCTGCTCTGTTCAATTACCTGTTTTTAAAACTATTTAGTCTCAAAACTTATGTTTTCCCAGTGGTTTATAGGACTCATGCTATGTATTGCCTGAAATATTTTACAAGGCTATATAATGTCCTTTGAAATGGCTTCCCATCCCAATTACTGAAAAATCCATCTGAAAGATTGATGGTAATTTCCCTGTTAATTTTTTCTGAGCCTCTCAGTAGGTGCCAAAAGAAGATCTACTATGAACACAAAAACAAGGGTTGAACTCATCACACCTCATCCACCCACCTCTCACCTTTGCGCTCTCTGATGAGGGCCAGGCGACGTTCTTTCATCTCCAAGCTCAAGTTTTCTACCAGCCTGTCAATGCAATTGTCCAGAACTAGAGAGCGCGTTTTGGACTCTATCCCCCGTCTGCAGATGGGACACTCCACCTTACGTTTCATCCATTCATTGATGCAGTAGGAGCAGAAGCTGTGCGCGCAGTTCAGAGTAACAGCCTGGGAAGGAGACACTGCTTATGAAATCCTCCCAAGTCACAGTAAACAGCTATTATTCCTATTTTGTCAGGACACAGACAGGTTAAGCCAGGATGCGGCCACAGGCCAAATGTAACTTACAGAGCCGTTTTATCTGGCTTAAGGAGCCAGGGGGCTTCTGCATCATTTTGGTCAGGGAGGGGTTTAGCTTGCACAGCAGCCAGGCAGCACTTCTATAGTGAAACTAGATGGCAATTTCCTGTCTGATTCTCAGGCACTGAAACAAGCTGTTGCATCAATTTTCCAATGCTGGAGAGAAATTTTTAATGCCTAATTGAAATCAAGGATTTCCCATCACTATTGAATGACCGACATTTCAGGCTTAATTTTAAATGGGGTGTGCCATCTAAGGCTGGAATCTGGCTCACTTTCAGTGATCCTAATTACAAACATACATGCCAAGAGAATAAACAAAATGGAGTAAGTATACTTCAGGGTAGTGAATGGCTTAATTCTTCACAAGAGAACAGAAAATGTTAGTCAATATGAACATTTTCCTAGGTCTAGTGGTATTTTTTTTAACTCTTTGATTTGACAAAAAGGAAGAAAAAGTTTCTTAAATCCTTTTCTTTAAAACCGAGCCTTGTCAGCAAACGTACCTCAATAAAATGTTCAGAACAGATGGTACACTGAAGCTCATTTTCCAGTACATCATTCATCTGACTCAAAACCTCTTCCTTTTGAGCTCTCACTTTTTCTTTTTCCTCCTGTAAAAAACACACACAAGATCACTTGCTGGTAGAGAACATGGTACGGTGGTCAGTGCAAGAGATTCAGCCCACAACCTGACAGTTTTCTCATGTTGAGTTTGCATCCTTCCTTCATGTGAGGGAAGGAAAGGAGCAGGGTTTCAAGTCAGCAACCACAGGTATACAGACAATAATCCTATATGCTGCAAAAACAGTGATTTCATTAAAGAACAGCAGCAATTACTCAAAACCCACATGCCTAAAGAAACTACAAACTGCACTATATCATTCCAGACCATCTTCCAAGCCCTTGTTAACAACTTAGGAGTTTTAGCCAGAGGCAAACATTGATTCCTGGATGAACGTTGCACAAGACAACCTTGATCAGAAAGTTGGTCTAGTGGCAGGAACATTCAGCCAAAAGGATTCAAATGCAGGAGCACAGAAAATATGTACAAGTCTGGGAATTCAAGATGTTTCCATGCACTACTACAGTTGCCCAGAGGATTGACAGCTTAGAGTGAAATATCACTGGCTGTTTGCCATCAAAATGCAGTAAGCATACTATTTAGCATTAAGTAACATGAAGCAATTTCCTCAGCTGAAGCTGTATTTAACACAACCTCTAAGTTACAGAAAAAGGCCAAAAAAGATGCAAAGATCCAAAGATAAGAGAAGATCTAGAGCAAGCACAGTGGAAGGTTTCCTCAATTTCCTTCAGTTATCATATCATTCTTAGTGCAAGAGGCAATACGACTTTTCTCTTTATGCATTTCCTTACTGTTTTGAGCCCCAGATGCAATATTCCCACGGATTACATAGCAGTTTTAGCTATATGAACTTTAACAGGAAGTTAAACACTCTGGATTTCAAACTCAGATGTTCCGGGTTGGAGGTTCAACAAGGCTTTTGCAACATCCATCTGCGTTCTCTCTGTGCCCTAGCAACTTCAGCTCATGCCCATTCAGAGACACCCCATAACAGGATCTTTGGCCAAGACACCTTGCCTCTGCTGTCTAGTCATAATACTGAACAATCAGTTTTTTCCAAATGCAGCATATGAGGTTGCACTAACAAACCGAACAGAAATCAGATTCTCTGTTCAGTACCTTGGTCTCTTCCAACTCTTTATTCTTGGCTTGAATTTTCTCTTCAAAGTCCTTTTTGCTGCGGCTTAGCTCTTCCATCAAAGCGCGATGCTGTGAAAATAGAAGAAACACAGAGTTTCTTGTTATAACTAGCATCAATGAAACATACCTGCTCCTTATCAGCCAGCTCAGCTCACTCATTTTGCCTGTCAGTTACCTCATTAGATAAGAAATCAGCAAGATCAGTCTCTGAGGGGGTAAGATGCAAATTGCAATAATGCCTAACCTGGAAGGCCTTAAGCATAAAACAGGTTCATGCAATTAAAAAGAAATCTTAAGTGTAATACTGATGCACGAGGCTGACAGTAGGCATCTAATTTAACAAGTCACCTTTCTGACTTCTGGTGGGTGAATCTTATCCTAGTGCACCACCCACCAGCAATTAACGCTCACCAACAAGACTTCAGCAAGTAAATCCTAACAGACATTCCAGGGTCTCTCCCTGAGGGTAATCACATTAAGCCTGCAATTCCCCCTTTTTTTTTTTTTAATCTGTATCTGAGCCTAGTTGTGTTCTGAGCCTAAAAATTCTAGACTCCTTTCTAGGGCTGATAGAGTTGCCTGCCTACATTCAAGGACAGGGACCACTGGATACAGAAGCACAGTCCTGTTCACATTATTTTGGTATTTAAAGGCAAAACACACAGGTAGGAAAGTCCCTCCACATAAAGCAATAAACCTAAAACCCCAGAAGATTTTCCATTCTTATACTAGGACCATTACTGAGTCTGCCCAGCTGCATGAACTGTGGCTACACCACTATATTTCTTTATGCTAAGTAAAGCAGAATTAAGAGCCAAATGAAAACTCTGGGCACATCAACATGTGCATTAATGCATCTTTTCTAATGCTCATTAAATTTAGTACCTCCAATGTGAAGTATTAAATTAAATGTGCATTAGGCAGTACTAATTAATGCATAATAGCTTATTTTAGAGGTACTGATACATCAGTCTGATGTCAGATTGGCACTGCTATAAAGAAAATTGTCTGCATCAGAAATCGGCCTGATATGGCCGGTAAGTGGCCTGTACACACGCACCGCCACAGCACAGCCCGTAGGTGGCAAGCACAGCCCAGCAGCTTGGAGAGCTGCATGCAACTGGTAAGCCTATTGTGGTGGAAGGGGAGGGAAGGGGCATGGAGGGGGCAGACCAAGGCCCCCACGGTGAGGGAGAAGTGGGGCTGGGGCAACTGCTGCCCAGCCAGAGCGGGGCAGGCGCAGGACGGAGCCACAGCTCGTCCGGGAGGCATGGGGGAGAAGGGGAAGTGGGGTCCTGCAGCTGCTCCCGCCACTCATCTGGGAGGGCAGGGGGGCACGTGCCCCTGGATCTGTGAGGGGCAGACTCTTTCTGGCAGGGCAGGGCTGCACTCTGGGCAGGCGGCAGCGCTGGGAGGAGGCAGGGGGCTGTACCTACCCCAAAATTTGCTGTAGCCTCACTATCATCTTTAGCCACTTGCTAAAGAGCTGGATACTCAGGATGCCAAGACTTTAATATAGCATGCATTTGTTGGACTGAATGAGGGAACTGCTTGGTAAAATTAATTTGTATAGTATGGTTTGGATAGGGATGAACCTGCCTCTGGCAAGGGGCTGAACTAGATGATCACTGGAGGTCCCTTCTAGCCCTACTTTTCTATGATTCTATGCATTCTGAAGTCCCTTACACTTGGACCCAAACAGTTCCCTACCACCCACCTTCAAATCACATGGCCTTGGGAAATAGCAGAAGAGAAACAGACACTTCATAGAAGTGCAGAAGCAGCTGAAAACAAAAGCTTTGGACATTTAGAAACTGACTTGCTCTAATCCTCTCCTTCCTTCAGTCTTGCTTTTAGTATGTGTTGGACTTTAGGTGCCTTTTGGGTCTTTTCACATCATTGCTGCATTTGCCAATTATCATGACACATGGGACCTATCCCTACTATGACCTGTGAAATCAGATACAGTCCTCAGGTTTCTTGCAAGACAATAGAATAGACAGCAAAGTTAAGATAGCTCTGGATTACACAACTGAACAAATTTACCTCCTGCAAGACTTGAGCTAGTTGCTCCTTCAGGCTCTCATCCCCTTGTTCCTGTTTTACTCCCTGGAAAAAGAAACTGCAACATAAGATTTTTGTTGGAGGACAGGTAAGAAGCATATAATAAAAAATAAACTGGAGGGATTAGGATGGGTAAAATGAAAGGGACAAGCTTTACACATTAAAAAAGGATACAGTAAGACAGCCTTCCCGGTGTGCAGCAGACAGCAAAATATATTTCACTTTTAGTGTTTCCTAAATTCTAATCAGATCACAGCTAGCTACAGAGGCATTTTCACTCTCTCAAAATATCAATACTTGTACATCTCCAAATTATTTTACTCAGAATAGGCTGAAATGTTCAAAGAATCAACAAAAGAGCGGCAATAGGTTCTGCGTGGGGAAAGGGAAAGGTTTTTAGCTCCAACTGGAAAAAAATCTAATGGAATTAACTTATATTCACTGTTCAGGTTGTACTTTCATTCACAACCAACACCACTACTCTTACTCACCTTAGCTGCTGCTGTTTATTTTCCCTCCAGCACTGGCAGAGAAGGTGGTTCCCCTTTCATATGCAAGGTTTCAAGAGGTGCAGATACAAGTAAACATTTTTGCCTGATATGACCACAAAAAAGTAGTTTATAGCTGTGACCAAACAGCACAGCTGCAAACAGCTTAAAAATGGCCAATTGGGTGAAAATCTGACCCCTTATTGCATGGGGTTCAGATAGAGAGGTTACAACATGTACCATCTTTTGTAACTCATGTCTACAGAGCTTCCAGCCTGTCACTATTTTTAGAATAGGAGGAAGAAAAGGGGGTGGTGAGGGTTCAGTCTGGGGGCGTTTTCAGCCCGCCCCAGGTGGGGAGGCTCCAGTTCATCCACCCCACTCTTCAGCAGCAACTAGGGACCCCAAGAATAAGCTCCCTTCACTGCCTTTATCTCCTCCCATTCTGAAAACAGTGAGAACTGGCAAACAGTCTGGCCGTTGCTATGGGCACCTGACTGCAAGCTCCCAGGGGCAGCTAGATTCCCCTGGGAGCTTGTGAACTTCTGAACAGTGAACTTCTGTTTGGTCTGGGGTAACGCTGTAACTCTGAACACTTTGCAGAAATTATTCTGAGTTACAGCTGGGAGCTGCATTTCTGTCTGCAGCCTAGAATACACATTCTACGTTGCAGACCAAAAGCATCTCAATTTGCAGTAGACTATCAAGTAGGCCAGCTCCTCCACGTTCATTTGGATTCTCTCTGACTTTTAAATGTACTTATGAAAAAGCTCAAAGATGTGTCCCTGTTTACTAGAGTTTATTCTAACAGCCAGTTGATGGTCAAATTTTAATAGATACTGGCCTAACTTACTTCAAGATCATTGAGGGTGGATTTGATTTAAATCAAATCGATTTAAATCACTGTTCAGGAAGCCTCGATTTAATCCTTGTTTTCTACAAAAAAATGCATTCTTGTTGTTTGATATCCTTTATTCATTTCACTCCTTGAAACTTTGCACTTTTAAAGAGAGGTAAGGGTTTGACTCTGTGTACACAAACTTGCAGAGAGACAAGACGGCTGATCAGCAGGTAATTATGTTATCTCTCATCTCCATATACTGCTGTAAACAAGGGGCTCCTATAGACATGCAGCAAGGCTGCTCTGAAGTACTGTAAATCCAGTGCATTCAAGCAGACTCAATTAATCAAGTCTGCTGAAGTGCAGAAATTAACGTGCTCCAGCAGCCTTCAGCGTCATGTGTATCATCATCCCCATACTGAAAAACAGTGGCAGGGCACTTCAGACTAAAGCTGGTTTAATGAGCTTTAGTTCAAAGCACCCCATCACCATTTTTCAGTGCAGGAACGCTGATGCACATGACACTCAGGAGCTTTTAATTAGCATGGCTCGCTAATTAAAGCATCCCCCCTTACCTCCCAGAGCACGTCTATAAACACCCAAGGATGTTATCTCTGGAGACACAAATCCACAGTTTGAGAACTAAAACTAAGCATCACAGAGATGCTTAATGGAATCTTCTAGACTGAGCACTGAGACCCATTGGGTACAGTGGTTTTCTTTAAACTTTACTAATCTGTAGAGAAGCCTCTGGGAACCCCATAAGATTGGGCCCCTAATATAGTCTATGGCCTGTTGTGATCTATTTATAAAACTTTTCTAAAAAGGTCACATGAATATATTGTCTCAATAATATATAATTAGAAGATATAATCCCTAGTCAATGATGATATCTTTGAGCTCTAACATATCTTAAATTAAAACTATTTTATATAGGTTTATTTTTTTAAGCATATTAAAACAAAAAAAAATTAAAAATCCAATTTTTTTTTTTTTTAAATCACTGATTTTTATCCACCCTGCACTGGGCACTGTTTTAGAAAACCCTATTTCCAGGTTAATCCACCTTCCTCTACCTACTCAGGAAACACAGATCAATATATTCTAAGCAGCGGTACCCATTGGTTCTTTTGCTGGAACAGGAAAGGGCTTTCCATGCGACTCAACCTTGACCTGGAAACCTATATCTAGAGGTGGACAGAGTCCAGTCTTGATGACTCATTCAATCCTTGACCTCTCTACCAAAATAAAGGACCTGACAGAGTCTAATATTCATTTCATACAGACCATTAATCCTTCAGGTGGCAATAACTAATTCTGAACTTACCTTAGAAGTGAAGAGCTTTTTACACCATTCCTTACCTCATGCCTTGTCCAATCCTTCCTGCTATTACCCATTCAACAGCTATGTGTCTGAAAGTGATGAAACAGGTACTATATAACATCCCTATTCTAAAAACTGCAGTAGTAGGAGCCCTTGTTATGGACATGGATCCCAGTCTGTTTAGTCAGTGGTAGCCAACCTTTTTGGCAAGGTATGCCACAAATTAAGCCCTGTGCCCTCCCTGAGTGCCACTCTAATCCCCTTCCTGTGCCCAACCTGCTGCTTCCTGCTGTCACCATGCTGCCTGCCTCCTCCACAATCTACTGCATGCCACGCACACAGGCTGCTCACATCACTTTTGACAAGTATACCACAGGCTGGCCACTCCTATGCTTGGCATCATACAAACACAGAACAAATAGCTCCTGCTGTACCTCCTGCTCTTGTTGTTCTCCACAGAACATCTTCTCCAACTGCTCCACCCTCTGCTGATGCTGCTCCTGTTCAATGCATAACTGCTCTTGTAACTCCTGCAGCTCTTTTTCCATCACCATGATCTCCTTCCGGGCACTCTTCCTGCTCTTCTGCTTCATACTTAAGACTGCTGTCTGCTTCTCCTGCACCTTGACTTTCAACTTCATTATATCTACCAGGGTTTTCTTCAGCATTTCCAAACTAGTCCAAGATTGTGCAAGACTAGGTGCTTTCTGGTCCCTATGGCCAAGGGATAGTGCTTTCTCTGGCTGCAAAGGACCACAATACACTGGAGCTTTCTCCTCCTCCTCACTTGTTCCAGGAGAAGGTAGCTTGAGATCCATGTTTTCTGTAGGTTGTTTGGCCAATTCTGCCATCTCCCAAGGTTTAATTAAAGGTTCACTATGCACTTTGTCTCTCTTGGATCTGGAATTTGAAGGGCCTTCTGCTCCCAATGCCTCAGATTCTTCCAAGCTAAATTTACGTTTTGTTCTCGTGCTCTTAGATTTCCCCATCACCTGGTCGTTTCTAGGAGCTAGAAACGGACTAATTTTCTCCCATTCTTCCCTGATCACTTCATACTCATATTCAGCAGCTTCTTTGCTTTCCAGAGGCACTCCTAGCTGGATATGGTCTCCTTCAACTATGGGATAGGCCTTTAATGGATCAAGGCGTTCCTTGTTCAGCCAAACACCATTTAGACTCTGAAAACAGAGGTATCAGCAAAATTTCAACATACATTTATGTAATTTCCTCTACAAGTTATTTTTTGATTGCAGCAAACAAATACATGGTGCTTTTGCAGGAAAAAATAGGAAAAACAAGTTCTCTCTCTCTCAGCAGCTCTGCAGTGTCTTAAACCAAGTCAGTATCCTATTTTAGCATACAAATTTAGCTCAGGCAATCAGCAATAGCTTCCTGCACAACTGTTAGGAATAAGATTAATTTTAGCAATAAGAGAGAAGACAGAAAAAGAACTAATGCAAAACAGAAATGACTATCAAAGCAGGATCAACTTGCCTAAACCAAGGATGCTCAGCTTCCAGTCAATGGGCCAAATGCAGCCAGCACAGCCTTGGAATCTGGCCTGCGGGGCTACCCATGGGTTGGGAAACTCAGTGCTGGGAGACCAGTGGCAGCTAATACTACCAACCCTCCCTGCTACCAAAATCACAAGCCCCACACAGTGGACCACAGACCAGCCATGACCCTCCTCTCCTGCACCAACATGCCCAGATTAGGGCTAGGGTCCTCTTCCCTCTGTGCACTTGGCTTAGGACCAACCCATTCCCCACCCCCCCCCAGTCTGAGCCACAGCCTCTTCCTCCTTTGCCCAGCCAAACTGGGTCCAAGGCCTTGCCCCTGCCATCCCTCACAGGGCTGGGCCATGCCCCCTTCCCTCCCACCCAGCCAAGTTGGGGCTGGGCCATGCCCCCTCCTCCCCTGGGGCTGAATTAGGGCTGGGTCATACCCCCCTATACACCACCACTCCCCCACCCGCCATGTTGGGGCTGTCCCCTGCACGGCTGGATCCTTGCACCCCTCCATGCAGCTGGATGGGGCCATGCTACACCTGCCCCAGATGCCAGACACTGTCCATCCAGCCTGCTGCACAAAAAGGATGAGCAGCACTGATCTAAACCATCCCGAACAAAATGCTCTTCAAACCTGCCTTTAAAAATATCTAGTAACAGAGATTCCACCGCCTCTCTAAGTAACCCATTCCATGCTTACCATGCAATGCCACGTGTTCTCTAGGAAATCAGAAGCATGCACCGCACAAGCCAGTTTGCAATCAGGAGATCATCTCAATTTTAATTTATTAAGACTAAAATTATTGGACTAGTACAAAAAGCAGAAGCAGTTTGTTTAACACTACAATAGCATTTTCCAAGCTTCAGTTATTCCTTAATTCATTAAACTAAGCTATTTTAGACCATTCGGAGGACCAGTGCTCCACTTCACTATCCAGGAGTCTCAAAATGTTCTGTCAAAGACAAGCAGCTACACAGAGAAACTAACCCTTGAATACAGATGTGAATAAGCCCAACTCAAACTCAGTCTCCTAGAGCTCAGGTTAAAGGAACACAAGGTCCCATGGCTTCTATTACATGGTTTGAGATTACTTGAAGTCAGGCAACTACTCAGCCCAAACTGAACATTATCTTCAATCCCGCTCTACAATTAAGACCCCATTCAATCACTATACCTTGTTCAGGTTTACCATACGTCCAGATTTTCCCAGACATGCCTGCTTTTTTTGTCCCCCAGTCCTTGTGTCTGGGCAGGTTTTTAACATGTGAGCAAGTGTCTACATTTTTGCTTTGCCTCCGCTTCTTCCAGATACAAGCAGCTTGGATGCTTGGGGCTGGGAATAGCTCACAAGGTGATTGGTGGTCGGGGATCATGTGTTCTGCACGCAGGGCCCAGGCAAGAGTCTGTCTGTCCATCTCTCTCTCTCTCCATGTGCGCAGGAGCTACGTGGGCACCAGGGCTACAGGAACAGGGGTTTCTGGGTTGGGAATAAGGGGCACCAGCAGTGCTGGGGGGCAGGGGGCTACAGATCAGAAGTGAGGGGCACTGGCAGTGCTGGGGGGCAGGGGGCTTTGGGTCAGAAGTGAGGAACACAGGCAGTGCTGAGAGAGCAGGGGCTTAGGAGTGAGGGGCAGAGGCAGGGCACAGGCATATCACTACCCTCCCCCCACAATCATATACCTCTCCCCCTGTTCTCCCCACACCCCTGCTGGCTACCCGCACAGCCGCCCTCCCCCCCCCGCAAAGGGGTACTCTCTTTTTTGATCCTGCAAATATGGTAACCCTAACCTTGTTGTCTTTGACTGTCCACTGGCCTTCTTCATTCTGCTTGAAAACACAGTGGTTACGAGAGATCATCAGCGGGCAGATTTTTGATACTAGCTGGTAGGTGAGACCAAGTCCTCGACCTATAGTTACCTAAAAATAAGAAGTTTAACAACAGACATTAGCAATAATTGAGAATGGGTGCTCTATATGCTTTGATCTTAAATACAAGGAGAATGGTCACTGAATTTGTTTTGCACACTGGAGATTAAAGCAGTAAACTGACCTTAACAAAAAGATTACTATTTATAAATTTAAACACAAGAAAGGTAACATGTTGATAAAGTTAAGTGCCAACAATAAATGGAAGCCTTTGAAAAGTGGAAGTATTTGGGCCTTTTGGGAAAAAAGAAACAATTTGCCGCCTCTGATACTGAAGACAATGACCATAAAAATAAAGAGGAACAAAGGCTTCAGAGGCTTCCAGATAACCATGTAGCTTCTAAGCCAGGGGTGGGCAAAATGCAGTGCGTGGGCCACATGCGGCCCACCAGGCCATTTTATCTGGCCCGCGTGGCGCCTAAAAAATTTAGAAAATGAATATTTATCTGCCCCTGGCTGCCTGTCATGTGGCCCTCGATGACTTGCCAAAACTCAGTAAATGGCCCTCCGCCCGAAATAATTGCCCACCCCTGTTCTAAGCTCCTCTTTCCTCTAAGGCAGTGATTCTCAAGCAGGGTGCCATAGCACCCTGGAGTGGCTTGAGATCCTTTCAAGGGTGTCACAGGATGCCACGCTATGTTAGCACTGTTAGGTATGCAAACATGATTCACAAAATAAACCCAGAGATTTCAAACAGAAATCTTTAGTTGCGGTCTTTCTGAGCTCTTTGCAACAGAACTATTATTTTTCTGTAGTCAAAAAAGGAGCAAAGATCAAGAGCTGGCATCTTCGGAGGGGTGCCTCAAGACTATCCAGGAGTGCCTTGAGTCTAAAAAAGCTGAGACCCATTGCTGTAGGGCCTCTTACCTGAGAGATTATGCTTCAGGTAGAATCGGGAATTTATTCAGCTTTGCTCTTTAAATTTTTAGATTGCATTTTCTTTGCTGCTGTACTACAAGTACCTACTAGCCACTGCTGCCATTAACACCAGAAATTTAACCATGTACAATACTCCCTTGCCCAAGAGATCTCCCTGGGCATTCAAAATCATGTTTTAGTACCTGACAAGCCATATGTTTCTATTCTTCCTAAACTTCAAGAGTTACCTCAGCTAGAAGAATCAGCTGGTTTCCTGCCTGCCTCCTGTATCAGAAAATGAACTAAATTTCAACTGCAAGGGCAAATTCTACCGTTATATCTATGAAAAGCCATGGTGCCTTCAGTGGAGACTGCAGAGAGGTAACATTAAGGAAATTAGCTTCGCTGATGAAGATGAGCCTGGCAGAAAGAAGCCAGCTTAATTTTCAGAGCCCAGGCTGAGTTTGTAAGCATGATTGGCGAACTACTTCGCACAAACACGGTAGAACCTTTTTGTATGAAGAGCAAATCAAATCGTAAACTGTGAGCTTCTGCATGCCTATCCAAATTTCCACTGATTAAGATTTCAAGAAAGGATTTTCCTGATTTGTAGCCCAGGTAAGTTATGAGACCTAAAACCATGCATTGCAATAAACTTACAAATATTGGCAGTTAGTTCTCTTCTCCTGCCTGCAGGCCAGATCAATGGCTCAAGGGTTGGACTCTAAGGATGCGTCCAGATGAGCATGCACATGCATTTCCTCAGGGACAAAAAGCAGCGACATTTAGATGTTCGGGAGGGGCCACCAGGGTTTCAGTGGCAGCAATCCACACGTGCAGAGGAGCCTAGCCAGCAGTCAGAGTAGGGCTCTGGTCATCCAGGCTCTGTTTTTGTGTGGTGCACGCTGCGGTCACATGCGCTGCTCCACTTTTTATTGGTGTGGGGTTTTTTGACACTGGGATCTCCTGTTCTCAAAAAAACCTCTGCAAATTAGCAGTACTATGAACATCTGTATGTGTGGTGCATGTGGTATGTGGCGCCGCTGAAGGGTCTGTGGAACAACAAACCGCACACGTGTGCTTGTCTGGACGCATCCGTAGGCCCTTGGTATATATACACATTACATATATTACACAATCAACTGGTTAACTAAACAATAAATTTAGACCGGCCACAAGTGGAAAGTAATGATCACACAATTAACTGGTTAACTGCACACTATATTTAGGTCACCTCAAGACTCATCAACGAGTCGTAGCAGAAATCATCCTCAAATCGAGGGGCTGCCCCTGCCACCAGCAGCGTAATTACAGGTGACAAATTACGGGTGCATAGACACGGCAACAACAGAGCTGGTACACATTTCCAAGCACTAACTTCATAGGGGGTTGGCTCTCTTCAGAGCCAGAGAGTCACTGTCAGAGCATGGCATGACTTTGCACATGTGGCCGGTCAACATTTGCTGCACGACACACCGGTGAATGGCATAATATAATGTAAAGGGTACCAGGGGCCTTAGACTACCAAAACCGCGGGGGG